CACAAAGATTGCAGGATAGAATTAAACAACATGTACTCACATCCATAAGAACCAAGAGTGTGAAAGAAAAGAATTTACCATGTCGCTCCTGTAAAACAAAAGTTCTACCACTAAAATGTAAATCAGCGATTAGCCAGCATTTACTAGTGAACCCGACTTGTGCTGACAACTACACAAATTATTGCAAATGGTCTGTCAACCTTTCATCTCTATATTTTGGAAGCCACCTTTATTAAAAGACATAAACCTGTCCTTTGCCGCCAAAAAGGATTCCTATACAATCTACACATCCTTCAGTAGGTATGTGACATTTCCTGATTGGCTAAAGGACATGCCAATCACTGACTGCCTTACCGGCCTAAGTTGGTCTGACTCATTTTATAAGCTGTACTATTTCCTATAGATCATCTTCAAGAAGGTTCTGCTATGATTAGTGTCTGACGAAAAGCTTCAGCAGATATTTCCTTTGCAACATCTGAACCAACAATTGGTCCAGTTATCAACGCTATTTTCATGTTTTGAACAACTCGACTTTCAAGATCTACATATCTACATGTACCGATGTTTCAGTTTATCAACGTTATATTTTAAGATCTGTGCAAGAACTTGGCTAACAGATGTTTCCGCATATAAAAGCTATTTTAAATTTGTCTTAACTTTTCCACAGTATTTATGAATCCTGAATGAATCAGGAAGTATATACTGCAGGTTATTATTATATTGGGCTGTAAATCAATATTTTATAAACCAAGATGTTTTTGTAAATAGCATATTAGTATATCTTGAAGTTTTGTTAATAAATATTTTAGTATGCTTGTTAAATATGTGATTTTACTTACATATATTAATGATATTACATCGGGTTATGATGAAACATGAGTTTTCTATATCAAATATAAATGGAGATTTGTATTAGTTGTTAGAAACTAATATTCATGGTGTGTAATTTACCACAAAAGACTAAGTTATACATGTAAAAGTCAGTATTTTATAAACTAAGAAGTTTTCGTAAATAGTATTGTTACGCCTCCGTTCGTTAGTTAATTTCCCGTAAAATTTCTTTCTGAAGAAACTTTAGCGATTCAAGTCCTTTCTTAAATAAAACTGGTTTATTCTTTCTAAATACAACTTTGCAATACACTTAATTTCCACGGTCACGCTATAACAAACGCTATAATTCACAACGAACGTCTCACGTGCTCAACAATACGTCTCTCTCTGTCCGCAGTTCAAATACACATTACATTACATTGATGCCGTCACGTCTTGACCATCTTATATGTACAAGAATACCGAAATCTAGCAACCTCTCGAGGCTTCATG